TGTATAATTTGAATTAAATCTTACAAATGTGTTGTACTATGAGTATAAATCTATGTGTGATTGATCACAGTCCCTTTAAGTAGACGCCTCTCGAAAAGTATTAAAAGTACTTGAAATATTCCTTATAGATTTTACAAATGCATGTAGTATGTACATAGGTACTTATCATTTCAAAGAAGATTTTATGTAGACAAGGGTAATACATGTACTGAAATAATTGGTGGAATAAAAATAAATAAGGGTGACATTACATGGTCATTGTGTTTCTAACAACAAAAGGGATACATTAAGATAAACAAAGTAAATGTTTCAATACGTTTGCTGCATTTTAAATATTCATTGCTCAAGTTAAACTCTGAAATAAGGGGTTCACGATATTTTTTGTCTTTCCATTATTGACAGAGAGACTACCCAGCAAAATTATCGTAATGACGTTTATTTACCCAACAAGTTACAACAAGAACTAGTCTAGTAATGACTTTCAAATAAATGTATATGTAAGTACTTATGTTGTTTTTTACAGAAACGAAAAACAAATTAAAACAACTTACTTAACTCTTTATTGGCTAGCGATCGTTTTAGATCGCTGTGTTAAAATAAGGACTTAAAGTTTTTGCTTGGTACCAAAGTCTATTTTTAATAAAATTACCTAAAATAACTTTTATTTAAATAAAAATAATGTTTATAAAAGATCTTCCAGGTGGCGTATGATTAATATTATTTAAATATTGCTCTCTACAACACTTTATGACTCTGGAAAAACTTTTAGGTAAAGGAATTGAACAAAATATCACTGTTAAAAAAATAATTTAAACTAAAGAAAAATTTATATAATTGTTTACTTTTACTACCAATAATTATTTATTTATTGTTTCATACCATTTCATTGTTAATTTTTTTTTGTACAAAATATTGTTTGCTTTCACAATTCTGAAAGTTGAAATGTTCCATAGTCAACTTTTTTTGTGCATTTATAATGAAATTTATCTTTATGTATTTATTACAACATTTTCTTGTTGTATAGCAACATAAATTTAATAGTTTTAAATCAATCAACAATTTAGTTTTATATGTCTACAGCAGAAACACCACCAACAACAACAACTAAAAACCATTTTTGAATTCTTTTGAAATTATTTTTATTTTTCTAGACTTGTTTACATGGTATATGTGTTATTTTTGTATAATTTTGAAGAAAAAAAAAAACTTAAATATACATAAATTGCGAAAATCGTTATTGTAGGCCTAATCAAACATGCGTATGAGTAAGTGTGACAGTCCGCCAATGAACTGACGTTCAAAACCGACAATGGATCTTGTAAAGGTGTCGGTTTTTAGCTGTTGATTGCAACAGCGAGCTGCTACACAAAGAGGTTATTGAGAGACAGTGACCGCTAATAGTTAGTTAGTTAGTTAGTTAGTTAGTTAGTTAGTTAGTTAGTTAGTTAGTTAGTTAGTTAGTTAGTTAGTTAGTTAGTTAGTTAGTTAGTTAGTTAGTTAGTTAGTTAGTTAGTTAGTTAGTTAGTTAGTTAGTTAGTTAGAGTTAGTTAGTTCTTAGTTAGTTAGTTAGTTAAGTTAGTTAGTTAGTTTAGTAGTTAGTAGTTAGTAGTTAGTAGTTTAGTTAGTTAGTTAGTTAGTTAGTTAGTTATTAGTTAGTTAGTTAGTTATTTAGTTAGTTAGTAGTTTAGGTTAGTTAGTTAGTTAGTTTAGTCTAGTTAGTTAGAATGAAGAGGATTATAACATAGGAATCCTTCGGACCCATTTGTGGTTCTTTTATCAATGTCTCCAATGGGAATCGAACCCTTGACCTCCGTTCTACTATAGAATCCTAGAATTCTGAAAGTCGGTTCTTAAAAAGAACTACGGATAGGCTTTACTGTTTAAAGCCTGCTATTAATGTTTACTTTGTACGCACACTTTTTCCAGTAACTGTTGTTATTAACTATAGGCATATTTTGTGCCACTAATAAACTAAACAATTTTTTCATAAATGAATTATTTTTGTAACAAATTTATTAACTTTTTGAAAATTTGAGGTGGGTCGTTTTCGTACATGATTTTTTATTTTCAACTAAAACGAAAACAGAGGGTTGTAATTAAAGTTAATAAATTTTAAATAAATCGATTTTAAATGTCTTTAGTATAGAACATTGTCTATATGGGTGTTAGACACATAAAATATATTATAAAGTGTAGAAACCAACTATTTATTTAATTTTTTTTATTAAATTCAAATAATAATAAAAATATTTATTAAAATTACAAAATTATTTGCACAAAAAAAACTAATTTCAAAATTCCCACAATGTTTCGATGTTACCACACCCCAAAATAGCTAGACTTTGACACACGCAAATCGTATTTATTTAAAAATTATCATAATCAGTTTTATGAAATTTATAAAATTTTGCCATTACTGCAAATAAGTGAGTCAAAAAAAAAGGAAACTAAATCAAGAACATTTTTATAAATTTGTTGCCAACTTGCCAAAAACACAGTTAAGCTGCAAACAGAAGTAGTAGTACTTACTTATGTAAAATAATTATGTAAATAAATTTTAAATGAATTTTAAGTAAATACACGCTAATGAGTAAATTTTATGTATCCTAAAAAAATTTTTGTCGAAATAATCTAATAAATTTATTACAAAATAATAAAATTATTAGATTATTAAATTAATTTTATTTTTTTATTAATAAAAAAAAAATAATATAAAGTTATGGCATGTAATAAACAGATCATTTGTCTAATAATTTGTGGCACGAGTCTATAATATATATAGGCAATGGATCTCCTAACTTAGTTAGAAGTAAAATGGTTATCGAAACTGTCATAGATTATTTGGTCCCATTTCAATAGTTACAATAAAACAGTACCAAAGTAACGCTAACTGACATGACTTATTGTCAGCACTAAAAATATTTTAGGATAAAATAGGTAAGTACTTACACAATAGGTTCTAAGATATATCATAAATACCCAGCAAAAACTTAAATTGAAAAGTAACCGCTTAAAATGGTAAAATTTATTTACACAATAGTATTTTAAGTCATTATAAGACATTGGAAGCAAGTACTTACCAAGCTCGCTTACAAGCAAGGAATTTGGTAGGAACTTAGATGTAAGAAGTTAAGTAAGTACGAGGATCGACATATCTCTAGGAGCTACTAAAACACTGTGGGAATAAATGGGAAACACAACAAACTAGTCTATAGTCTAGTCTATAGTCTAGTCTATAGTCTAGTCTATAGTCTAGTCTATAGTCTAGTCTATAGTCTAGTCTATAGTCTAGTCTATAGTCTAGTCTATAGTCTAGTCTATAGTCTAGTCTATAGTCTAGTCTATAGTCTAGTCTATAGTCTAGTCTATAGTCTAGTCTATAGTCTAGTCTATAGTCTAGTCTATAGTCTAGTCTATAGTCTAGTCTATAGTCTAGTCTATAGTCTAGTCTATAGTCTAGTCTATAGTCTAGTCTATAGTCTAGTCTATAGTCTAGTCTATAGTCTAGTCTATAGTCTAGTCTATAGTCTAGTCTATAGTCTAGTCTATAGTCTAGTCTATAGTCTAGTCTATAGTCTAGTCTATAGTCTAGTCTATAGTCTAGTCTATAGTCTAGTCTATAGTCTAGTCTATAGTCTAGTCTATAGTCTAGTCTATAGTCTAGTCTATAGTCTAGTCTATAGTCTAGTCTATAGTCTAGTCTATAGTCTAGTCTATAGTCTAGTCTATAGTCTAGTCTATAGTCTAGTCTATAGTCTAGTCTATAGTCTAGTCTATAGTCTAGTCTATAGTCTAGTCTATAGTCTAGTCTATAGTCTAGTCTATAGTCTAGTCTATAGTCTAGTCTATAGTCTAGTCTATAGTCTAGTCTATAGTCTAGTCTATAGTCTAGTCTATAGTCTAGTCTATAGTCTAGTCTATAGTCTAGTCTATAGTCTAGTCTAGTCTAGTCTAGTCTAGTCTATTAGTCTAGTCTATAGTCTAGTCTATACTCTAGTCAGTAGTCTAGTCTATACTCTAGTCTAGACTATAGTTAAGGTACAGTCTACATTCCAGCGGAAAATTAGTTTAGTTCTTTGAAACCTAAAAAGTACTCCTTTTGTTAGAAGTTAGTACTACTATATCAAAGTATCAATTATCCATGCCTGGTTTACATGTTAACCCTTTGATAATTTTCAATCTAAATTTTGGTTTAATTTAACTTCGATAAGGGTAGCGAAGCACCCAAGGTAAATTAGTTATTTAAATAATAAAGTACTTTTGAACCCTTAATAATTGGTTATACCATTTAATAATTACAATTAATAAGTGAAGCATAGAAGAACAACTTCAATGGTGTCAAGCAATTAAATTAGTGCAACAATTAAAAAAAAAAGAAAATTAATATGAAACTGAGTTTAATTGCAACGTCAAACAAGCACCAATCATGCATTGAATTAATAAAAAAGAAAAACTTTTAAATAAAATCTCTTAATTATGGATAAATTATGAAATACGAGTTATAAATCTGCGGTTAATTTTTACACCCAATTTAAGTAAAACGACAAGCAGAAATTATTAATTGAGGCAAAAGTACTGCAAACAATATTTCAAAAAAAATATATTTAATAAAAATTTAGTTTAAAGAGATGAAATGAACTAAAAAATTATAAAAATTTAAAAACCAGATTTAAAATAAGAGTAAAAAATCACTTACACAAAATCATTCACAATAGAGCCATAAAGACACACATTTTGGTATAAGAGATAAAGAGAGTTTTCAAAAATTTAAAACAGTTTTCAGTTTTAAACCATTTTATTTTATTTAACTTTTTTTTAAGCTGGAAAAACTAAATCATGTTAAAGCATCTAAACAAAAAACTAGTTTTCTTTAAGATTTTTATAGCAAAAATCTATGCGGCAGTTAATATAAACGTTTAGGTGTGTAAGTGTGAGTGTAAATGTTGCTACTACATGTGGCAGCAGCAAATTATGCTGCTGGTGTGTCTATGCCAGCCAATACAAACCCAAAAGTATAAATAAAGTGCCAGAATTTCAAATTAAAACAGTTTATTTAACGTACTCCAAATAAAACGGTGCCAATTTTAGAAAAATTAAAAAACTTTAAGTTTTTATTTCTTTTTTTAACTAAGAAAACATTAAGTAAAAAAAACAACAATAAAATAAAAATGGCTTTCAAGGTGCGTAAAGAAGAAGTGTTTTCAAAATCCAAAGGATAAATTTAAAAGAAAAAACTAAAGAACAACAGTATTTTCAAATGAACCAAATCTCAGAACAATACTATTGAAAAAAGGACATTGTAAAGTTGAAAAATGTTTTGTGTTATGTGTGTTGAAAGGATTTTTATAAATGTGTGTGTTTGTGTTTCCTTAACCAAAAACAATTATAAAATGCTAAAAGGATTTCTTTTTCAGCTTTTTTCCGATTTCATTTTACTTTCTTCAGGTTTTTTAATTTAAAGTTTTCATCGATATAATTGAATTGTTGCGTTGAATGCTGTGCATAAGAAGAAAACTATATAGTTTTCCTTTTCAATATTTATTGCTTTTTTCATTTTCCTTTTTAGTCCTTTAACTACATAAATTAAAATGTTAAAAAAATTCAAAATTTTTATTTAAAAAGTTTAAATAAAATAAGGGATTTTATTTAACCAAGTTTTAATAAAATGCATAAAAATTTTTATTATATTGGTTTTAATATAAAAATACTAGAATACCCTGGGTGCTTCGCTACCCTAACCAAAATTACATGCATACAAAATTTTGATTACTTTTATAGAAAATTTTAATTGATTAAAAGCTTTTTTAATGTTTTTTACGTTTAGTTTTATTGAAATTTATCTCGTGAACAAATTCGCATTTGGTAAGCAAATAGTACTATAAAATAGCACTTAGAGATTATCATTCAATCAAATGTTTTTGAATTTGAAGAATGGAAAAATACCAAAAAGTCCCCACTTACAGATTATTATTCTGACAGGACCATGCCTGTTCAAATTTATGTTTGTAGGTTGAATATTTTTGAAAATTCAAAAGGTACCATTTGATAGATAAAAAGTACTAAAAAGTTATATCCTAAAGAATCTTATTCAATAAGGATTGTCTATGTTTAATAATCATGTGTTTTGGCTTCATATTATACAACATACAAAGAGTATAATTTTAAGAAAGAAAAAGTACCAAAAGTGTAATAAATTTTACCAAAAGTACTACATAATAAAAAGGTAGTACAATTTTCCGCCTTATCGCCTAGGAATACACTTTTTTGAAAATTAGGAGTTAATATATTCTGTGTTTAAACCTTTATAGCACAAATAAAGCTCAAACGATTCAAATCTGCATTCATTTGTTTCAGAAAAATTGTACCAAATAATTTACCCGAATTTGGTCCTATAGTACCAGAATTCCAAAATAATATACTAATAGCTAATTAACTAATTTTTTCAATTTTTATAAAAATTGACTCAATTAGTTTGAATAAGTTTCCCGTTTTACCCCTTTTTGGTACTTTTTTTCCCCAGTGAAATAGGAAATATTTTGTTTCAATAAATATTACAGAATTAGTATGTAAGTCGAAAAACTTTTCTTAATGTGCTAAAAAAAAGTACCAAAAATACAGTTTTCTCCCTTTTACACCCAAAAAGTACTGAATTTTAAAAAAAGTACGAAACAGGTATCTCATAATTTTCAAAGATGTATCTAAAATATTTACAAAAGTTTTATTATGATTATTAGTTAAAATGTTATAAAGGGCCAAAAAAAAGGTACCAAAATCACCTATGTTACACATTTTCACCCTTTAAAAGTACAAATTTCAAAAAAGTACTAGACACCCATCTGCTCATTTTAGGAGTAGTTACGGATGTGTTTAAAAAGTTTCTTGTATCAGTAATACTGTGTAAGATAATTAAGAAAACTTGTTTTACCCGTTTCCCCCTTTTTTACCCCTAAATGTACAAATTTATAGAAATCATTCCTTAGTGGATCTACGATCATTACGAAAATCGGCAGTGTCATTTAGACTTTTATAAAAGTTTTAACGATTTTTGGCGACATTCTAAAACATTTAACATAATTATGAGCTCAATAGCCCTATTCGGGGTGTACGGTTGTATAGATGGATTTTAACCTTCGTCCTTAAAGAGTATGTGACAAATTTCATTAAATTATCATGAAAATTTCAACCAGTAGCGTGTGCAATGTTTACATGGACACACAGACGGACAGATATACAGACAGATAGACAGACGGACAGACAGGCAGACAGACAGACAGACGGATAGACAGACTGACAGATAGACAACTTAAATCGACTCAGAAAGTGATTTTGAGCCGATTGTAGGGTTAAGACCAATATTTTTGGGTGTTACAAACATCAGCACAAACGCATAATACCCTCCCCACTATCTAGGGTATAAGAAAGGAACATTTGCTTCCCAACACATAAAGCAAAAAGTGCATTGAATTCCTATTAATGCAAATCAGCTTGAAATCAACATTAATTTTAATTAATTTTACATTTACTTCAAACATTCCATCATTTATATTATAAATGTTTTTGAGATTTAGTTTTTTACTTAATTTTTTTTTGCGTTAGTCAGCTAGCACCCCTTACCATTTAACTTTGTCTGATTACTTTAACATTTGGGTCGAGTTCGAGGGGAAAAGGGAAAAATAGAGTTTGTTTTCTCAGCAAACAGCAGGTATTAGAGCAAAATAAGAAGAAAAAAACTAACTAAAAAGTTATTTAACATGCTGAGCATTACTAAAAGAAAAACTTGGGAAATAGTACAACAACAACAACAACAAACTGTCTAAAAAGTTAAACTGGACTCAGGAAGCAGCTATTTTTGTTAAAGAGCTAAAGATAAATATTATGATTATTTCATGTGCTATATAAACTTAAGTTCAAAATCCAGGATATAGAAAATTTTTAACTGTAATTAAAAAAAAAAACTAACTTTACAGCTCATTTATCATTGTTTAAACAACGTTACCGGCCTTTTAAAACATCAAACACTTTGTCAGTAGAGTGTTTTGCAAACATAAACTCAAGAACATTTTAAACAACAAGTTAAAACAAGGAAAAAGTTCATATAGTTACTTACTTTTTTTGTTTATTTTCTTAGTTTTTTTTTCATACAATGTTTTACAACACATTCGTCGTCCTTTGCTTCAGTTGCAAAGGACCTGTTTGAGTCCTGTTGTTTCTTCATCAGCAGCGACACCAGCTGCTTCAAATACTGCATTGTGCTGCATTTTATATAAGGGAAGAAGGGATTGGTAAAACAAAATCATGCTGAAAATAAATGTAGTAAATAGCATTACAAGATGTGCTACTTTTCCCTTTTTAAAAAGTTTTTCCTTTTTTTTTCTTATTCTACCATTTTTGTCGTCAATATCAAAGAAGTTGCTACAGACAGCAGGAAAACAAGAATTTTAAGAAATATGTATATAAATTTAAACGTGAATTTTAACAATCTATTTGTAAGTCTGTTTGTTCGTTCATTCATTACAAGAGCATTAAGGGACAAAAAGGGGAAAAATCAAAAACTACCAGTTGGGAAACGTAAACGTACCAGAAAGTTTTCTTTTATAGATTTTCATTCAATCAGAATGGTTTAATAGAACTGAATTTAATAGCAGAATCTTATATCAATAATTCCGAAAATCAAAAAGTACCACTTGTATGATGAAAAAGTACCAGAAACTGCACTTTTATAAATATTTAGGGTTCGATTTTATAAAAGATTCAAAAAGTACCAGTTGAAGAACAAAAAGTACTGAAATATTCACTCTTTCAGTTTTTCATCCTATAAGTTTGATTACATGTTTTTAGGTTCAATATTGCAGAAAACCCAAAAAGTACCCGTTGAAGAAGGAAATAGTACCAAAGTTTTCTACGGATTTTCATTCACCAGGACTCTGAATTATTAATTATACTCTATACCATTATAGTGGGGGGTGGTTGTTATGCGTTCGTGCTGATGTTTGTAACACTCAAAAATATTGGTCCTACACCCACCTTAAAGTATCACTTTCTGAGTCGATTTAGCTATGTCCGTCCGTCTGTCTGACTGTCTGTCTATCTGCCTGTCTGTCTGTGTGTCCATGAAAACCTTGTGCGAACGTTACAGGTGAAAATTTTCGAGATAATTCGATGAAATTTGGGACGAAGAATGAAGCCTATTTAAAATGGATCAAAACTGTCTACTATTTCTCCTGACTGACTATCTGTCCGTCCGTCTGTGTGACCATGTAAACCTTGTGCGCACTCTATAGGTCACAATTTTCAAGATGATTTGATGAAATGTAACACATACTCTTCTTTAGACCAAAGAACGAAGGCTATTGAAAATAGTTAAAATCGGTCCGTTATTTTGTATAGCCCCCATACAACCGTACTCCCCGAGCTCATAAATATGTTAAATGTATCACTTCAAAAATCGGCAAAACTTAGTTTTATATAAGTCTTAATGATACTGCTGATTTTCGTAATGATCGGGCCTCATTTGACCCCATCACCCATACAAAGTCCCCTTCAGAAACTGACTTGATGGTCAAAATTCACTTATAAACACTAATATCACGATGATATTCTACCTAAATAACTGATGTAGACGTAAATCTCTCTCTATCAAAATTTATAAGGATGGGACCATATTAACCCCCTGTCCCCATATAACCCCTCCCTTTTTTGTCACAAAATTGTTAAAATATTTCTAGCTTGTTTTATATTTCAGACAGGCATGACTTTTCTTCTTAAAATCACAAAAATATATGAAATAATTTTAATACCCGGTCAAAGCCGGGTACAAGAAGTTAGTTTTTTTATAAGTTAAAATTTGGAACAGTTTTCTTTACTGTTGAAAGTATGTAGTTATATTTCGTTTTATTTTTCTTTTATTACTTTTTACTTTTATTTTTCTTTCTTAAGTCGCAGTTTGTCTTTTTGTTTAGAGGTCAATAAGTATTTATGCTGCACAGGGGATTATGAGGGAAAAATGTGATTTTGAAGTAAGATTAAAGAAGTTTAAGTGTTACATTCGTATACCACGAATTTTAGAAACCTTTCATTTGAAACTTTTCAGAAAAAAATTTTAGAAACAATAAGATATTATAGAAGAACAAATAAAGAAATCTTTATGAACTAGCGAAATAAATAGTTTTTTTGCTCTCCT